AATCACTTTATTCATTAATTTCTTCCTTTTTTATGTGTTCTCTTACAAGTATACCGTTTAAAAATGTAGCTGGAGCAATTACATCTTGGTGCGCCCATCACAACAATAATTATACGGTCATCCGAATTGTGTTAAGACAGAAACATATTTACGTGTCGTGGCGTGTCGTGACGCACCTGAAGCACATCGATTTCATACATTTAGTAACATATTTGTATGTCGTGTCATGTCGACACGCCACGACAGGGGGGGGGGGGGTCATATAGTCGTGGTCAAGTCACAGTGGGTACAGATTGTGAAGTGGGTACAGATGGACCCAGCCCAGGGGGGGGGGGTCATGACCCACATGACCCCCCCTCTGGATCCGCCCTTGAACTGATGACAACACTTACACATGAAATACGACACTCTTGCCTCTCTCAATATCTACAAGTTTAAGAGATATTCCTTAACAAAACCCACCTTTACAGTTTTAATGTTTAATTAATAATTCAGAATACAGGCACTTTATAGATACGGTGATATTTACCATCCATTTATAATATAAACGTAGGTATAAATGCGATTCAACTAAGAATAGGACCGACCGACTGGGCGCTATATTGTCATAGCTGTCAATTCAAACCTAATAGGTAGAGTGAGCAGAAAATGTTTTTATTTAATAAAAACAACCGATTTTTAAGAATATTTATTTATTAAAACTGTGTGAGAAAAAACATTAATCAGAATCTAGGTCTTCAATTCCGCTCATCTCTGCATTACTGCCGGAGTAGTTATGAATAATCATGAACTATTACTAGGTCACATACGAACATACATCCTTTATGTAAACGAAAGTTTTAAGTTGAGTTTATAAACGCAACTTAGTGACATTTGGTTGACGATATAAGTTATCAGCAGTCATTACATCCTTTATGTAAACGAAAGTTTTAAGTTGAGTTTATGAACGCAACTTAGTGACATTTGGTTGACGATATAAGTTATCAGCAGTCATAGCCAAAGTCAATAAATGAAAAAAAATATCAAACAATATTGATTATCAATATTTGTTATTGTTTGTTAACAAATGTTTAGTTTTTATTAGTTGTTCTAAAAAAAGGTTCCATTTTTTTTTCAAACCGTACTTTTCAAGCGACACTTGACAGATGGAGGTCATTGACTTTCCTATTCTTATTTGAATCGCACTTATAGTCACGCCATTGTTAGTTACAGAGTCCATAAAACAAGCAGGAATCAGTGTCACCTTTTATCGAAAATCTAGTCGTCTATAACGAAATCGTAGAAAAATATCACAAATCACAAAATCAAAGAAAGCATCGTTAAAACACAAAAACAAAAATTCGCATCGCTAGTGAAATGACAATTGCAATGACCAATGTCATAATGTATGCCATTGTAAGTTGTCATGTGATGTTAGTTACGTCACTAATTAAAAAAATTGAATTGGTAATCGATGTTATATTTTAATAAGAACTAGCGGCCCGCCCTCGCTTCGCTTGGGTGTAGAGCTGAAGTGTAGACTACAGTTTTTGTTCTCAGGCTTATATTATACACAATGAAATTCATCTATGATTCTTCTTAAACGTGCATGCAATGTCTCAGCCCGATCGGTTTAAAATTGTCAAAGTTTCATACAAACTTTCATTCCATATTTTATCCCCTTGGGGGTAGAATTGATCAAAATCCTTTCTTAGCGGATGTCTACGTCATAACATCTACCTGCATGATAAATTTCAGCCCGATCCGTCCAGTGGTTTGGGATGTGCGTTGATAGATCACTATGTCAGTCAGTCACCTTTGAGTTTTATTTATATAGATAAATATTTTGTCTGAGACTTGGAGTTCCTCAATTTTTTCCTTTATCTGTACTATAAGACGTTACTTCGTACCAAATTTCAAGATTCAAGTTCACGGGAAGGACCCTGTAGGTTTTGATATATACAGTATCTTTTGATTGCTTTGGCTTAGAAGTTTGTTTTTTTCACAGCTTTAAGACCTGAGTATAAGATATGAATTTCAGTTTGATACCTCCATGCGTTCCTGAGAAAAACGGTCTTGACAGACTGACGGACGGACGCACAACAAAGTGATCCTTTAAAGGTTCCGTTTTTTTCTTTTGAGGTTTATATATGAGGTATATCATACAACAATTTTTCGTACAGGATTAGTACCAAAATGGTTGTTCTCCTAAAGCGACATTTAGCAGATTTTCCCATATCTGGCAGAAGTATTGAGTCTGGAGACTTTAAATTTTGTGGCACAGTAACCCTGGAGCTCTACTCTCTTTCTCCGAAACGAAATTTCGGTAACGAACGAATTTCAAACGAAATTTCGCCAGTGTCTCTACTCTATTTCATTTTCGAACAGGCACATTAACTTCGGAACCATAAACAGTTTTCGTGAACGAATGGAATGAGTCATGTTTGTGAGTTCTTTTTATCTCTACTTTTAAGAAAACGTTTTTTTACTTGGAATCAATATAGGTAGTTTACGGCAAATTTTTAGATGACATCGAAAGAACCTTCTTTGACAGTGTTAGCCGACTAATTTATAGAGTCGATACAATCTACTATATGTCAACCTCAATTTGTCGTTTAACACTTTGAAGTATCGAAATTACAAAAAATAATAAAAAAATGGTTTATTTGTTAATTTTACATGCTAAAAAAGTTTCTCGGGCTAAGCAGCTATAATTAAAAATACTCTTGCAAGTATTTTAGGCTTAATTAAAACAAAAATCTCAAAACGAAAATGAAAAGGTAACACTTTTCATTTCGTCGATTTGAGTTCAAAATTTCGAACAATTATCTGTCAAATTCAACTTTTCCTTCGAAAGTTTTGTGAATTAGAGTAGGCTTTGAGAATTTAATTGTCAAAATATTTCGGACGAACGAATTTTCGAAATGAAAAGGAAACAGAGTAGAGAACGTGCGAAATTTCGATCGAAATTTCGTTTTTCGTTGAAATAGAGTAGGCCTTCTGTACTTGATGCACAATAACGTTTCAAAATGGCGTTAGTAGTTCCGCTTTTTGCCGTTCTACAGATAAGTTGGTGACACTGTAGATGCTGCTAATGGTGGCATCGAAATTGTAGGAGAGAGAATAAAGTTTATTTTTATGTATATATTACACACCTTCCGATTCGCCTGGCAGGTACTTGTGCTCATCGTAAGCGCCTGTCATTTTTTTTAAACTTAAAAATGAATAAACAACATTGTAATAAAAATTTCAAGCTTACAGCAACAAGTTTTTTTTTAAATATATTTTTGACACTTTCTAAAATATACGGCTGGATGACGTGCAGCGCTGAGGAGTGCCAGACGATGCTTACCGTACTAAGCATGTTATGGCTCATCACCATAAGAATTTCTAGCCTTACAGACAGACCGTTACTCGGAGGGTTCAGTAGCTCTTGGTATATTACAGCAAGACTGACGCAGAGCTGTCGCGCTACTGTCGTAGTGTGTGCGCGTGCACAGCGCGACTAGACGCGGCGAAAAGTAGCGAGCACGCTCGACTCCCCTAGCTTGTCGTCGCTACTCCGCGACTCTGACGCCAAGTGTGCGAAGCTTTGAACGACATATATGAAATTGTCGGCCGCAGTCTGTCGTCGCGTCTAGTCGCTGAGCTGTCGCTGTCGTGTGTCGCCTGGTGTGCGCCTACACTAATTGTCGCCGCTTCTAGTCGCGCTGTGCACGCATACAGACGACGACAGTAGCGCGACAGCTCTGCGTCAGTCTCGCTGTGATCGCTGAGAAAGGTGCATGTGTTTATTTTATTCATTTGGATAAGCACCAAAGCGAGGGCAACTAGAGGCTCCATATTCACTCACAAGATGAACAACACTGCCGTCTCCCTAAAATACTCCACTACTAATGATCGCTTTTTGCACGATGTCTGAAAATGTTCGTTTGCAACACTGCCACGAGGTAGGGGTTTGGGTCAGGGTAGGCAAATGCGCGAGTGATATTTTTGGTGTAGCAAGCGTCTATAGGCTATGGTGGCTGCTAACCATCAGGCGGGCCATTATACGCTACTTAAATATTTAAATATAAAAAAAATGTGAGCAAAAGTTGAAATCAAGTCTCAATTGCCTATTACTATTTGTAATTTTTGTAGATATTTAACTGCTTTTGCCAATCTGTATGTCAAACTTAACAAATGGCGCATTTTATGTTTTCTTCGCTCCCAGTCTAGAATAGGGAAAATGATGAAAAAATAAAACTTATGGGTATCAATGTTATCAACGTCATTATATAAAAAAACTAGTCTAAGTAACTGTAATTTAATAATTTAATATGTATTTTCAGGAACCTGATCAGTTGTTCCATAGTGCGATTTTCCCTAAAGTAAGGAAAGTATTTGTTTATTTGAATCGGTCACACCTTCCTATATTTATATAAAGGATCTTTATCCGAGAAAAAGCTATAGGTAACAAGTATTCCAAAGTTCACGCAACAAGGTTGCGAGCTAGGGCTAAAGACCTTACAATATGAAAACATAAGCAATTAGGGTAATCAATTTTAAGTAGTGAAATAAAGTGTTTATTTGGGTTAAGAGGATTATCATAAATTTTTAATTATAATTTTTTATTTATAATGGTTTTCTGGTTACGGATATATTTCTTTTATTTTTTTCAGTTTTGCTTTTGTTTCGTGTCGTATAAACGTTATGTTTAGAAAGATGGTATAATAACTAGATACTGCACAAATGCACCTACAGTTCAGTAGATGTAGGTATCTGCTCGCTCAGATCTTGTCAAGTGGCACGAAAATAAATCTTTTCTTGCTCGCAGTCTACTACGAACTTTTCCCGCGAATCTACCATTTTCAGTGGTGTCGTAGTCAGCTAAACCGGGTCAGTTAATAGGGATTTTAGTAAAATCAGGCTTTTGAATCTTTATGATGAGTTTCAATGTTAATTTAATAGTGAATAACTTATAAAAAAACAATAATATATAATAAACTATATAAGTTAAATAACTTGTAGAAAAAAAAACAATGAAAAGTGGCCTATTAAATTCAAGTGAAATTTATTATAATCACAAAGATGTTGCTTATTTAATGGTGATTGAAAACAATAATAATTTAAATTCAACGTTAGAAGATTATAATTTATGCGACGATTTAATTTTCAACACAAGTCTTGGAGTTGAAATAGTAGTACAAGAATGGGAAGCTATAACAACAATAGTTGTGTTATCTATTGTAATAATCAGCACAATATTTGGGAACATACTCGTCATACTCGGAGTGTTTACATATAAACCTCTGAGAATCGTGCCAAACTTTTTCATAGTCTCATTAGCTGCTGCCGATTTAGCTGTTGCGGTACTAGTGATGCCATTAAATGTGGCATATTCAACTTTGGGACGATGGCTTTGGGGAAAGGATTTGTGTAAGATGTGGTTGACTTGTGACATTATGTCTTGTACATCGTCTATCTTAAATCTTTGTGCTATTGCTTTGGATAGATATTGGGCAATAACGGATCCCATCAACTACGCACATAAGAGAACACTGAAGCGAGTCTTATTTCAGATAACGATGGTTTGGATACTGTCACTGATCATAAGTTCCCCACCCCTTTTAGGATGGAACGATTGGCCTGATAAGTTTTCACCCGAAACTCCTTGTCAACTAACTTCCGAGCCTGGCTATGTCATTTACTCATCGTTGGGATCTTTTTTCATACCATTATTAATAATGGCGATTGTGTACGTCAAGATATTCCTTGCTGCTAGACAAAGGCTTAGAAGGCGAACGCTGGCAGCTAGGGTGCAAAAAACGAAAATAATTCATGACCTCCAAGACGACAGTTTGGAAAATAAGGAAGATATAGATAAAGATTCAGATAGTGGAGATGCGATTCAGCGTCATAGAAAAGCGTTTTCGGATATGAAGAAAAACTTTTTTGTCCCTTTGCTTATGTTCCACGATCCAGGGGCAAGACAAAGTATGGAAAATAATATGGTGTTGCAAATGAATATTTCACCTGGATCTTGTGGGAATTATACGTCGCAGGTGATGGGATCTTTTAAGAAACTGAGTCATAGGAAGAAAAGACATGAAAAAACTGTATTGACTGAACTAAACAGCAGCGGTAATGTAGTGCATCAATTTATTGAACAGAAGCAAAAGATTTCTTTATCGAAAGAGCGACGCGCAGCAAGAACGCTAGGAATAATAATGGGTGTGTTTGTTGTGTGTTGGCTACCATTTTTCCTAATGTATTTGATATTACCATTCTGTCCTTGGTGTCGCCCTAGTAACAAGTTCATTAATTTCATCACCTGGCTGGGATATGTTAATTCGACGGTAAATCCGTTGATTTACACTATTTTCAATTTAGATTTTAGAAAGGCATTCAAAAAGCTATTGTGTATGAATATATAAATTGGAACAAAAAATGGTTGGTTCATGTGATCCGACATTTATTGTGAAGATTTCTGAAGAAAGTTAAATAGGTTTTACTTATATATTGAAAATTAGGCAATGGTCCTTCATTAAACTTTAATAATAATTTCCAGTAAATCAACGTGATAAATTATAACTTTTTTTAACTAGTTTCAAAGCTTAGTTGGGTCACTCGTCTCAGCATACGTCTAATTGTGCTTCAACAAAACATGAAGAGCTGAAGCATTGTGAAGTGCCCAAGCCTTGTTAGCAGTCATGTAGACTCGACCGTTCGGGCATCGTCTAGCCCAGCCTAATTCTCTATTGATATATGGTCAAATAGTAACATGTCATATTTAATTCATTAAAAGCTATTGATTTATATTTGTTTTTTTATTGACCCCGTAGCTACAGCTATATTTTAAATAAAATTAATCATGTCTAAATTTTACAAACAAAGTGTATTTTACAAAGAGCTTTAAGAATATTCCGTTCCTGTATATTTCTACATTTACTAAAAATGAAAACGAAGAAAGGAAAAGGTTATAAATAATTTAGTTACTGGAGGCATTATGAAGCATCGTGATTTGCGTGTTTGGAGATATCTACACTAAAGTACCTGCTCTGATGGAAAGAACACATTGAAGTCGTCAAAGAAACGAAGTACTTGCCTATATCAAAGAAAATATTCTCAAAACTTGGATTTTTTTATAAGTTGTGTGTCGCAAACTCGGCTTGAATGTGTTATATACTTACAAACGAAGCTTTTCAGCTGCCAAATAAGCTTTTCGTGGGTTGACGTGACGCAGACGAATGGCTTTTACCATCAAGTTTTCATTATGGTGAGATTGCTTTTATTAACTCCACCCCTATTTATCATATCTTTGTTGTTTCTATTCTTCATATCAATCTTAACTGCAAATTGTATGTATTGTAAGTAGTCAAACTTGGGGATTATTGATTACCGATGAATGAAAGCGTAGATTGAAAGCCAAAATGCTGAAGAAAATAATTTAACATGAATAGAGCCATTGAAAATACCAATTTCGTTAATTTATGGAGGGGAAATGGCAGTCCCTGACATTTATTCGTTTTCAAATTTCGTTTTATAGTCGGGAGGTTAAATTTTTTTATAACCCTTTTCTTCTAAAACCGTTTCTCATTTAAAAGAAAATTGTAATAGGATTTACGAGGTCATTGAAAATTGTATAGCTACAATTTATATTTTTCATTAATTGGGTACTAAGATTAAAGAAATTTGTTTTTAGGAGAATGTGGTAGACAGTAATTGTAATTATTGAAGTAATGAAAATAAAAGTTTTTAATAAAATGGACTAAAATAATGTAGAGAATGTAGCAATCCCCTGATTCTATGTCACGAGTAAATCTATAAAGAACTTTTTTTTTATTAATGGCAAATAAGCACATGGCCCACCTGATGGCAATCGGCTATCAGAGCCTAAAGACGCTTATGATAAACCAAAAATATCACTCGCGCATGTGCCTACCCTGCCCCAAACCTCTTCCCCATGAAACTTTACTTTGCTAACAACTGCTGATTTATTTTAATAAGCTTGCATATTTTTAGTGAGTGGTTCTATAAAACCTATGTAGCTTATGAGTGGCTACTAATAATATCTGAGCTAATGACCGCAATCAATCATGGATCCGCTGCTTCTATTTGTCAAAATATCACTGGGGCCGGTCGTCATGATGTATTACCCCGACCGAATCAACGCGTCAGTAATTAATTTCAAGCCTTATGTAAATCACACAGAATACAATAGGTACCTTTTCAATGCTCTTTGATTTCAATTTAACGATATCCGGGATAAAATACATAGCTAGTCTTATAGGTATTTTGTAGGTTAATTATTGGCACATTAAAAAAAAGTGCGTTGTTTTATAACAGATAAAAACCTATATAACAGAAAAATAGAAATCTATTTTTCAGTATTCTTATTCAGTGTAATTATTAGGCGAGGGACAGACAGAAAAAATATAAGACGTAGACGGGGCGCCGTCGTAGATACTTATCTCTTAGGCGTCATTTTCATACAAAACTTATAAAAGTGTCCGTCGCGCGTTGCAAAACATATAAGGCAAAAAGGCAAGGTGCGGTCACGTGTCGCTTCTTTATTTTGTATGAAACCCGTGCTCTGTCTGCGTTTTACGTCCTTTCTGTGTGTCCCTCACCTTATAAACACCGCACCCTTTGTATTGCTACATTTGGTGTTGTGGCATTCTGGTTTCCAACCCACATTTTATAAATCTGACCTCTCTTTAAATTAGTACGCATTTATACCGACATTAAAGAAGGAATTCATTGCTTTTTATTGTCTGTAAGCATGCCATGTTAGCTTAGTTCAAAATAATAATAGCTGATATATTTTTTCGAAAATATTGATTTAAAGTGGGCCATTAATACGAAAAAAAATAATCAGAAATTTTACTGGACAATCAATCTTGCGGTTCGTTCACAAAAGAATCTTTTACTTTTCATGGTTGAAACGTTACAATGAAAAATTTACCGGTAGAATTATTTATGATCCCTTCTTTATATTTATAAAGGTAGAATCAAATACCTTTTTATATTGACGTATAAACATTATAATATATTTGGTATTTAAAAGCTCATAAATATTTTATTCAATAAAGTCATTCTGGGAAAAATGTGAAATCCCCAAAATGCGGTCTTTATAGGGAAAGCCTGTCGTGTAAATACCAATTTATCGGTCGATTATATTTGAATATGATTAATGGAGCCGTAAATTTCACGCTAAGATAAATAGTCCAGTATACATTAACAAGATCAAAAGTTGACATATAAAGAACTAGCGATCCACCCCGGCTTTGCAGAGGTAAACTTTATTAGTAACGCGATAAAAATTTAATGTAAATGTATATAAAATGGTTTCTTCATCATCAGCCGATGGATGTTCACAGCTGGACATAGGCCTCCTCTAGGGTACCCTCGTCTCGCTTGATGCCGTCAGTCCATATTGGTTCAGTTTGACCCATAATACGAGTCGGTAGTCATTTGGGACCAGGACCACTGGTCCTGATGGGGACATGGAATTAATAAATTATTTTGAGGCGGCATTCGGGACCGAAGCTATACTTGGTACGACCAGTACGAAATTTATTTAGTTATTTCACTAGCCAATTGAACTCACACCCCCTTATTAATAAACGAAGAATAAGCTTGGATTAGTTACTTCATGGTTTGTCTCTGTTCATTGAATGACAAACGGCATAAGCATAAGAGTGATTTGAACAAAACATGGTGTAACAAGTCCAAGCTTATTCCTCGTTTATTAAGAAGGGGGTAAAGGCTTTTAGCTTTCGGTAAGGCTTAGGATTACTTATGTCTAGGGAAGTCCCTAATCGGTAACTCCAATCCGCGTGGAAAATCCCCTGTGTCCAAAGCGTAACTCTAATGACATTTTCAAAACCAATGATTATCTACTTTATCTGTGATTCGGTCGGTTAAACGGCACATTCTGCTAAACAAAATTATTGGTTGTTGCAGTATTATCAATACGAAACTATTAAATTACAATTTAGAGCGGGCTTTTGTTTTAATTAGCGGGCTTTTGGGTGACCTTTTGTAGAATTTATGTATATAGACATAAATTAATCAACTGGTTTTCGTGTGAATATTAATTTATTTCAAGCGCTTTATAAAGTACACGCTATAGCCGGTAAAAACTGAAAAAGGAGACAGCGGAAACGGATGTCGGTCGGTATTAAATTATTGTACATTTTATGTTTGTATCAAACACTTCTGTCACCCAAAAACCCGCTATTACTGATCGTCCCCTTTTACTGAAATTCGAGCTGTTGCAAGTGTTTTAGTAATATCGTAGACTATCATATAAGAATCAGGTGGCTCAAAGAATTCTTAAGAAAGATATATCTATATAGACCGAGCTTGTTGCTAGATCGCCATCAAAAAAAAAGTAGGTAGGTACTACAATATTTGCTGTTCTTGAAGCTTACATAATAAAATACCTCGCGGTTGTGTCTAAATAAGTAGTACCTAGATTAAACAACAAGTAAAAAAAAGAAATTTCAAATGAAGGATAAAGTTAAATCCCGTGAGCAATGCATAATTCTAGATTAGGTACAATTCTGGACGGAGCGCGGGAATATTAGGACGGATATGATTTTTTTTGCACGAGTTAGGTATGTAGGCAATACTAAAAAGAAAATACTTTTTAGCATTGAGTGCGAAAAAATAAGTATGAGTTGGCTTATTAAACCTTGTCTTAAAATGATTAATGACAATGTAAGAATTCACTTTACTATAATGGATATGTTCAAAAGACTTTTTAATTACATAAAACAACCACGTCGGCAGATGGGAAAGAGCCCAACTAAAATTGGCGGGATTTTTTTTTATTTAATTCCATAGCTGTATGGAATGGAATAAGTGGAACTTTAAAAATAACCCGCTAATTTTAACCTACTTGTACTTAGTCAGGGCCGGATTTAGTAGTGTGGGGGCCCTGGGGCAAGGAAGGAGTGGAGGTCCTTAAATCTGGGCTGTACCACTTACGATTGGCGTAATTAAAATAATTTTGAACGCACTTTTTGATTTTTTGAACTTTCCAATAAATATGTAGATAAGATGAGATTTTTGCTGGTATCACGCAGAACTCTGGGTTTTAGCCTTAGCTGGGAAGTATAGTTTACCACCCCTTAGTTCCCCTAACCTGTGAGAAAATAATGTTTTTCAATTAACGAAAAAAATCGGAGGAGTTTATCAAGTCGAGTCGATAAGTATATATTTTTTTTGTATAATCATTCAATTTTTACAGAGAAGTCCGATTTTGATAATTCTTTTATTATTTTAAAAGGTATATCGTCGTCCGAAGTTGGCCCCGTATAAATATGGAAAAAAATTTTTTTTAGGGTAGCTTCCCTACAGTAGTAGTGTAGTAGTAGTGTAGTGGGGGTGATTTTTTTTTATCGTATCCTCCATTGTGTGGGGTATTGTTGAATAGGTCTTTTAAAACGACTTAGGGGTTTCTACGACTATTATTCGATTCAGGGATCCATTTCGGAAATATTAAACCTTAAAATGCAATTTTTTATTGTTGTAGGTCCTCCGCTAAAAGCTAAACTATTGGCTTGAAAAAACTGAAAAACAATCATGATAATGGTGATTTTCATAAACTTTCAAAGAAAATTATAACGGTTAAGATGGATCAGTTAGTTTTAGAGTAATAGTCGTTCAACTTAGTTATTAGAA